AAAGGTCCTAAGGTAGTAAGTTCCGTCCAGCATGAGCGGTGTAAGGACTTCCTCACTGTTACTTGCCTCGTCTCTCAGAAATTGAGTCATCCTTGATTACGAGGAAGCCAACGGCCTGACAATAAGACCCTGAGCACCTTTCCCTTTCATGTTCTGTTCCTTTCACAGCATTCTCTTTCTCTTTTATCATCTCCTTTCTCTTAACTAATCTCAACAAATGAAAAGGAGATGATAAGAAAGGAAAGACACAATCAAAGCAAACAAAAGAAATCCCATTCATCTATTCCACTTCTTTCCAATTCTAAATGCTGCAAATTGTAAAATCCATGAAGATACAAATAAAAAAGTAAAAGAAATATCATGTAATCCCTCTTTCCTTAGCTTTTCATGGAATTAATGATCCAATATAACAAACCAAATAAAATAACTTGAAAATAAGGGAAAATGGATATTATCTCCTGATCATTGTCAACCCGCCGGATCTCCCGGAAATAGAATGAGATGACATATGAAAAAGACAAACAAGATAAAAGGCATGTCATTACAACTCCAAAAGAGAAGAATTAGAAGAAGAAGACCAATAGATAGATGAAAGAAATATAAGAAATTAATAAAAAAGAAAAGACAAGAATAACGTGAATCATTAATTGATAATGCGAGAATGCGAAATTCTTTAATCTGCAAACTAATAAAAAGAGAAGACAAAAGGAATGACCATAAAGTGAAGAAAATAATATATTCTGATGAAATTTCGTTATTAATACAAGCATTTCCTAGAGATATAGCAGCATTAGATAAAAGAAGTGTATTAGCAAAAGTTAATTCACAAGGATCTGGAAGATAGAAAGCTTCTCCTGGCCACATCCCTAAAGTTGGAGAAGATAATAAATGAAAAGATGTCCAAAAGAAGGATACAAATAATAGAGCTTCAGAAACTAGAAAACTTCCAAAAAGAAGAAAAAGATTATTAATAAGACTTCATATTTTAGTTAATTCTCTTAATAAATCTCTAGACCAAATATGAAAACTATAAATAAATAATAAATTAAGATGAAATAATATAAGAAAATAATTCTATGAGAAGTGAATTCCAGTCCAACAATAAATATTAAATCCCCTAAAGATAAGCAGAACTATAATATTTGCAAAGATTAATAAGATACAAATATTAATGAGAAAACAAAATGATTCTGATGTAACTTCTAAATGTAATGATTTCCAAAATAAAAGAATTCTAAAGAAGAAGTAAAGAGAAATAGAAAAGTGTCTTTATGGAAAGGCTGAGGAACGAAGATATCATTTCCTTTTCTTTTTTATGTTTTTATTAGTTCTACAATATAATATTTCTACCTTATAAGACCCGACCGTTGGCGGAGGTAGGGAGGGAGAATGAGGGATCGCTTCCTTCGGTCACTCTCACACCACACACTTCCAAATCCTTGAATCGAGGGAATAGGAAAGAAAAGGAAAAGCATTCTCATAAAGACAACTTACGACATCTCCCTCGATTTCCAGGATTATTTGTTGCCTTTAGGCTTCTCTCCGTCAATGATAGGGAGGAGACGGAGAAAGAGAATCCTGTGTCACTTCCTTCATCATCAGGTAGGACTTGTCTATATCCCACCTATTAGACACCAAATGCTTTTATTGAAGACCATCCAATATTAGAGCTGACATGAAGGATGCAGAAAAGATAAGACACATGAATTTATTAGTCACAGCATGTAATCCTAAGAAGAATGTGGAAAGATTTCTTTTCTTTTCTTTTCTTTTCTTTTCCTTTCTTTTCTTTTCTTTTCTTTTCTTTTCTTTTCTTTTCTTTTCTTTTCATTCATTCATTCATTCATTCATTCATTCATTCATTAATTCATTAATTCATTCATTTTTACACATACAATCCATTTTTCTCCGGTTTTTTTGTCCAAAGATGATGTCTCTGTTTTGAAAGGGTGTCCGTTTATCCACTTTCAGGATTGAGATGTTCCACGTGTCACTCCGAGTGTTTTTCTGTAAGCCAATTGGCAAGTAAGGACCCCCTGAGCTGTGACCACATCACCTGCCGCTTGGATTTGACACTAACGCGCAGAACCGCTTGGTCCACTAATGTTGGCCCCATATTAATCAACCCCAGTTTATTAATAGGGTGTCCTGGAGTTTAGTGACAGTTTTGGAGGGTAACGCCCCTATTAGTAAACAGTGGTTGATTAATATGGTATGAACATCATGGACTTGGCAACCAGCCGTTTCTGTTGTGAAGGTGCCCGTCTGCTGGCAATGGACTTGGCAACCAGCCGTTTCTGTTGTGAAGGTGCCCGTCTGCTGGCAATTTAAGAAACAAACAAAAAGGAACAACCGCCGCTGGCCCACCAGGGCCGGGCCCGGTCAGTTTGGTTTGGAGTGAATTGGTTTTGTTTTGAGCGCCCAAAAACACACGTTGGGAACCACTGAAGGATTGAATCGGTGTAAGATCCAAGCTGCTCCATTATTGGGGTTTCCTTTGTTTGCCTTCAGGTGAATGCGGCCATGAGTTCTGCTGGGTCTGTGGGGAGGACAGGCGCATCATTCTAGCTCATGACAATAGCTACCACCACAAGCGCTGTCGCTTCTTCGAGCCCTGCAACGAGAAGCCTAAGCTGGAGAAGAAGTGTGCAAGATGCCAATCCACAGGCATGCGCAAATATCCGTGCGAGTCACGACTCCGGGTGGTCTCCGTGGGTGATGGCTGCGTGCCTTTATTTTTCTGTAGTCTTTTATCCATTTGCGACCCCAGTTGCTAGCTACTTTGAATACACCCTTTGAGCGCCGCCGTGAATTCGTCACCCACCCGATTCAACTACCTGAGCGGGATGTTCGACAGCGGCAGAAACTCACAGTGTGCTGCATCGTTGCTGTAGTCTTACTGAGGATTCTGTCAAAAGTCAAAATCGGGGCCTTCCGCACCAAAGGGGCATTTGTCTTTTTGGCTTTCCTTCGCTAACAAAGCAGCCAGTCACTGTGCGTCTCGGGATCCGCCAGGCGTCCCTTGCCTGAGACCTCCACAAGAGCAGGCGGTGAAGCAGGCGGCCTTGAAGAAGCGGGTGATGGGTTTGGAGGTGAAGCACTGGAGCGAGGCCGAGCGGAGCGAGGCGGCGCTCATCACGGAGAAGTCGGAGCCGGTGAGGCGGGATCCTACTCACACCATTGTTTAATACCTCCCCTTTTCGTTCCCTTGTTGAAAATATGGGTGTGGGTCAAAATAGGAACATAAATGGAAGCAAGGAGTAACATCTGCGAACAAGGAGTAACATCTGCGGTCTATATCCTGGTGGTTTAGTTTACCCATAGACCAAGAGCTTGTTTAAACGAGTTGTGTCCAACCTCAGGCAATTGAATCCCTTCAGCGCGGACGCCTTCTCCCAGATGTTCTGTGGCGGTCCCTTGGCGTCCTGTTGCCGCGCTCTTGGCGGGGAACACCCCAGGTGAGCTGAGGCCCAAAACCCCATTGGCCATTTTGGTAGGTGGTTTTTCCTGGAATAACAAATGTTTTTGGCATTCCCTACATAAAACCCGCAAACCATGTCAGTAGAACCAAAGGTCACTGGGTTTTGGTCGCTCAGGGCGAGTTTGCATGCAAAGCGCCAGGTTGGGGCTTTTTGATGAGCCCTTTGATCACTAGGGTTACAACCTGTGAAAATCCCAACCTGGCTGGTGTCTTTGAAGGCGACTTCAATCCTCACAGAGGTTGTTTTTTGCATCAATGTCCTGTTAGTTTCAAGGAAACAGCTCCAGTTCTTGGTCAAAACACATCCGTTTAGAACAGAGAGCCTACTTGAAATCTCGGGGCTTTTTCCTAATTACTTGCGCCAAGCCCCGCTGTGCGCATCAGTCGCACCAGCTTTTGGGCCAAGCGCTCAGCTTTGTAGGCGACTAATCGCTTGCCGCCCGCGCCAAAGGCGCTAATTCAGATGCGAATTTGGGCAAGTCACCACAAAAGAGTCTTGACCAGTTGGAATTAACGGGGTTTACCTTCGCCGCTGTTAAACAAACCGAAGAGCTCCGTTAGAACGAGCTCTTTCACAGGGCGGGCCTTCATTTGCAGGGAATCGGTGGAAGGCAAACCCGGTTGCCCGCGGCTTCTCTCTTCTTTTTCCGTTGACCGGACACTTGCCCGTGCTTCGAGTGCACTGCTGAGCGGGCGAACTCATGTTTGCCATGCTACATGCACATGCGTATATGTATTTATAATCCTACGTAATGATATTACATCACGATCTTTCTGTCTACAAGTATATGTATATGTGTATGTATATGTAGACACATATGCATACGCATATGTATATGTATATGTATATGTATATGTACATGTGTATGTGTATGTGTATGTGTATGTATTTCTACATATATGTATACGTGTATATATATATATATATATGTATATGTATTGGTTCTTCACAAAAGACGGGAAGCCATACAAAACAATGGGTGGTTTCCATTTGGCCTTCCGTTCAAACCACATAAAAGGTAGTTTCAAGAAAAGCCACACGCGTATTGAATATATATATATATACATATGGCTACAAATGCATGCACATTCGAGATCAGGCCATCCAGGATCCGCTCAGCATTGCCTAATTCGGGCTCTGTGGCGCTGTCAAATGACACGCTGGCCGCATGTTCGACGGGAAAGGCTGCTCGGGGGGCGCCAGGGGAAAGTGCAACCGAGGGATTGAGGGCGCTCCCACTGGTTGATCTTTCAGGGTGAATCGCGCAAAACAGAGTTCCCAACGTTTCCCCTGTCGGTGGTTTTAGCATCACCTCGTGGGTCATTCAAAAGTGAGCTCACTTTTGGGTGATGCTCACAGGGGAAATTTATGAAGCCCTGAAAAGAAGCATATGGTGGCAAGTGTTTCAAACATTCAGTGCCATGACCAAGAGCTTGTCCATGTAGATATCCCCCCCAAACACATGCCTTGGACATGTGAAGAGCGGCACATAGACGTGGACCTCCTTGCCCCGCCCAGGGCTCACCACCGCGAACACGCCTTGGAGACGAGGCGGGAGCTAAAGTTGATGGCAATCCAAGGTCCTCAAGTGTGCCTGAGATATTGGTGGAACATTGGTGGAAATTGGTTTTTGCAGCTTTCCGCAATATCAGGGAGTGTCTTTTTTAGACCCTGAAGTGTTGGTTTGCCTGTTGATTTCCCTTTCAAACCACAACGTTGACCCAACAATCGAGCGCCATGAAGCGTACGTGTTCCTTTGAACGACAAGCGGGTACCTTCATGTAGCAGAACTAAACTGTCAAGAATCCAGCAGGCTTGACAGTGCCGCCGTCGTAACTCACTTGATATCTTGGCTAGAGTTGGCAGGCTTACACCATGGACAGCCTGAAAGACAATTCCCCGAGGTTCTCCGCTCTTGTTTCGCTGGGAAGCCCGCGGAACGGCAACAAAACAACGATCGCTCGTTCTCAAAGAAACAAGCTGTCGCCATCGCACCCCGAGGAGTTCGCCATCGCACCACGCGCTGCGAGAGCAACGGCGCCGGCGCCAGACTTGGTGGAGCCGGCGCCGGCGCCAGCGCCAGCGCTCGCTCCGTTGACGTGGCAGCTATGCGCAACTTGGACCAAGTGACAAGCAAATTGGAAAGAAGTCGTAGAAAGAGCAACCTGTCATAAGACCTTGACATTTGTGTTAGAAGCTCTTTACAGTGTTTGGAGCAGGCTTTCATTTTGCTTGTCTATGGGTGTCAGCAGCCCTGTAGGACGGAAATGCGTCTGCTTTGCGCTTCGCTACTGGACGAACTATCGCTTGTGCGCTTTGCAAGAACACCGACATCTGAAGGTAATCGAGCCGGTTGTAGGTGTGTGTCTGGAATTTGGTTTAATTGCCCTCACGCCTGCAAAACAGGGTTCTTTCAGGCGGCGTCCATCGTTTACAGGTGCTGCAACCAGGTTCTTCGAGAAGCATCGCAGTGCTCACCTTTGTTGCTGATGCGAGGCGAAGCCGAGAAGGCGTTAAAGTTGAAATGCTCAGAAGGAAAGCCGACATCTTTCTTTCGGTTTTTTTTTTGGGGGGGGCCTCGCAAAAAGAAAGACACACCCCCGTGGTTTTGGCACGATTTTTCCGACGCGTTGTCAAAAGCCCCGCGTTGTGTTTGAGGCGGAGCAGTTCCAGAGTTGCGAGTGCGCTGGGCGCATGCGCTGGGGCACGCCTTCAAAATATCAGATCTTCGAGCCAAAGACGCCCGGTCGGAGAGAGGCTAAATCGGAAGGAGGGGAGGCGGCTGCCGAGCACCACATCGCCAGTGAAGCAGGGCGTCCCTGTGGGATTGTGTTGTCCAAAGGACACGCCTGAGATTTTGTTCGCAGCTTATTTGTGATTCCTATTTTGGTGTTTCCAAAATTCGGTGTCCTCTGTGGCACCGGACAACGGGGAAACGCATCAGCTGCCTTTGCCTTGGTTCTTTGTTTTGGTTCAAAGCACGAACTCGCCAAGGGGCGAGCTATCGTGATGCCGGGCATGTAGCCAATGGGCATGTCTCACTGTCTCAGAACATGGGTTGCTTGGGTTCAACGTAATCTACAGAATGGCATATATATGTATATATATATATATATGTATGGCTGTGGGTCAAAAATAGGTACCCCAAATGGCCCCGTAGTAAGTGGACACATGGACCAAAACCTGCGGTCCCCTGGTGGTTGAATTTTGACGCATACCCGTATCTATATATATATATATACATGTATGCAAGAAAGGTGCACAGGCGGCTTCCTCCGAAGGACACCAGGAAGACTTCAGTCCTTGGTGGGGTGTGCGAGTGTCTTCGGATTTGACGTCCACGGGGGCTTTTCATCCGCCCAAGCAATCCAAACAAGAGCGAGCTGAACCCAGAACCCAGCTCACACTGCGACAAAGCAAAGCTCACAAAGCTCATTGAAGCACAGCGACTTGCCCCACACAGCGCCCCATAGGCGACTTGACCCGTCAGGAACGAGCCCTGGCCCTGCGACTTCAACACCTTGGGGGACCCTGCGCCTGGCGAGTCTCTTGGCAAAGACCCGGACCCGGGGATTTTCTTGGGTCGAAGGGCCCGGATGGATCCGGAAGAAGCGGGCTCGTTCGGATTGTTTGGTCCTTTTGGGGGCAAGTTTCTCGTTTTTTTTGGTTGAAATCCTTAGTTCCCACTGGGCTTCTGAGGGCTGGCGAGGTCCGGAATTGGTCGAACCTTCTCTGGGCAGCTGATCCGGGCACCTCTCACCAGGTTGACAAGTGCGGATGGAGCGTTCGGCTCGACTCGAGTTGCGTTTCTGAAATAAGGGGAAATTTCGGGGGATCTAAAGGAACATCTACCAATTTAGGGATCCTTATTTTGAGACACAGGAAATAGATCTCGGCAGCGTGACCCCAAATGAAGCCCCCAGTGACGGGTGCTTGGACGGGTGCTTCAAACCGTTGGTGTTTTGCAGCAAAGGTATTGTCACACTTTCAAAGTGCACTGCTCAGCACGCTCAGGTTTAAGCAATGGAGAGCGTGTGCTTTTGGGTCACTTGAGACAGCTTCTTCTTTCGGGTCTCGCAGATCCAGCCGTGCGTTTATGGCTCCCTAAGCTCAACTTGAGCCGTCAAAAGGAAAGCATGCATTCGGCTTTTGTGTGACTTTCGGGACTCCTTGCGCAGTCGGCCCCGTGTTTTTGTGTGACTTGGTTTCAAGTCCTGCGCTAGTTGAATGTCTTAGACAAACATTTGTATTAGGCGTTCATCCGTAAGGGGGCTTTGCCCAGTCAACTGAGGACCATGACAGCTTTTGCGCGAGATTTGGGCAAGGATTCACAGGCGTTCATCCCTGGGCTTTGTGCCAAGGAACAAAGTCTGCGAGTGCGAGGAAGCTGTGGAGGTTCCGACGGGCCTGGAGTGGGTCTTCTGCGCCAGCCAGTTCATGCTTTGTGACTGCCCGGGCCGAATTCGCTGGGGGAATGCACGGTGCCTCGGCCGGTCCAATCGGGACTCGTGGGTTTGCGTCATTTTGTTTGGGGAGCCCAGAAATTTCACGAAACGGCTGGTGTCCTTTTATTTTGTTAGGTCCGGTACAGGGTTTCCCAAATTAAAAAAGTTTCTTTCCCCACGTGGTTCCTACTCCAAGACACAGGTTTAACTGAAACACCTCTTAAACCAGCCCTCCCTGCATTTCACCCGTTGGAGTTCACGGGATCCGATGGGTTGCCAAATTAGACAATTTGTCAGCTGACCAAACATTGACCAGCCCAAATTGGCACACCACCCAAAGGGAACTTCCAGGTGAGCCATAATAATAACCCGGGTGGATGAAGGTTAAGGGAAAGTTTAAACATGGGTTTTGAGTGGACTACTTGAATACCAGGTTTTGCTTCTGAATTCCATGTGATGCGGGATCGATGGGAGGCGCTGGAAGTTGGTCCAACCCGCGTCGCCGAATGGGTCACTGAGCTGCTCTACTCAACTCGGGGACCCCGCGCCTGGGGACGCGGGCAAGCACTGCGAGTGCGAGCTGGACCCAACGGCGCCCTTTTACGCGCGGGACCCGGAGCGAGACTTAGGATCTACGAGAAGGGAAGTCCAGAGCGCAAAGCACGCTCTTTTTTTTGGGGGGCTGGTCTTTTTTGTTGTGGGCCCCGAGTTGCGGGCAGGGTCACCAGTGGGTGGGAGGGCGTGGTTCCACATCCTCAGCATCACCAGCAACCTTCAGTAATGTTTGTAATCTGTAACCCACATTACACCAGCCAGCACAAAACCACAACTAAACCCACCCGAAACCCACTCTAAACCCGCATCTAAAGAAACCTACAGAAACCCAAGGGTGTAGCATCTGCCTACACGACCATGCAGCCCCTGCAAGAGTCAAAGGCTCCGACCTTTGTAAGGGCGTGGCTCGTTTTTGTGGCTCCTCACCCTTTTCCTTTGGTTCAAAGGGACACCCAAAAGGAAATGGGCCAAACATGTGGGGTACCCCAATTTGTGGCTCAACACGTACCAATCCTTGGCAAATGGAACAGACTTAAAACCTGCTAATCCCACACCTCCGGTTTGGCTTAGCGTCGGCCCAGGCCTCCGTGAGCCCTGCGGTGCGGGAGAATCCGCGCGAACCGCTGGTGTCTTGCGAGATCTTGGCGCAGGAGCTCACGGGTGGTTTGTCGGTGAGCTATTCTTGAGTTCCGAGTTCTGGGCTATTCTTTGAGTTGCCGGCTACTCTGTGTTATGATCGCGTTGTGGCACGGGAATCAGCCCTGAGCTATTCTTTGCGGGCTTTTTGTGCTTGTTGTTGGGCAGAGTGGCTGTTCCGTCAGCTGGGCGGAATCGACGCGCTGGGGCAGGTGTCAGAAGCTATCGACATGGTGTGCGGGATCATTTGCTCTGGTTTTGCAATCCATCCTTCCCCACTTCGATCTAGTGGAACTAGGTAACCAGCCCTTCCCTTGCAGTTTTGAAAGGGTTTTGACAGGGGTTCCCTCGGCTACTATAAACAAGTAAATGCTCATGTTCAAGATCTGTGTTCAATCCAGAGGGACCCGGAGAAGTTTTCACTTCCATTCGACCCATCTTTGGTTTTGGTTTGATCCGAGATCCCGAAAGCCTTCCACTTGCACATGGGGTGTTTCCTGAAGCACAACGAAGCGAAGTTGTTGGATGGTCTTGAAGGGACATGATAGACAAAGCCAACTACGATGGACATGATAGACATAGCCCACGCCAAAGACCCACCTGGCCCGTGCTCATATTGCAGTTCTCTTTCATGGGCGGGTGAAAGTGCCAACCTGACGCGGGTTGAGGCACTGGTGGGGCCACCGCCCCTGGATGCGCAGTTCTCTTTCATCTAAACCTGGAGCCTGACAAGACCAGTTTTCAGGGAATCCGCCCCATGCCCAGGAAAGCAACAACAACACCCCCGTCTCACCAATCCATCCTCCCAGTTTGGGGCTTTGTCCCTCCGGACGATTGGCAAATGGCCAGGCCCAGGATCGATCAGTCTGGGACCAAAAGCAGTGGCAGGCCCGAAATCGGGCGGTCAGTTGACTGTTCCCAGTGCATACTTTGAGAGCCCCCAAAAAGTGTTTTCAGAGACTCTTGAAGGGAGTCCGTTTGTTTTTTGTCGGGTCGAATGGTGACCGGTCGGATGTTTTCGGAGTCTTTCTGAGTATCCGCCCCCTTTGGGAAAGGGCTCGGCGCTCCACAATCGACTGTCCATGCCCAAGAGCAAAGCAAGCAAACTTTTTGTAAAGTTGCACTGAGCTACAGGATCACTTTGCAACTTGAAGCATCGTGTTTCTAGAAGTTGCCATGCAGATGCCTGGAGCGCAGGTCAACAGACGGAGATCATGTGTTGGGTTCGATCTTTCACCCACGGTTCGGATGTTCTAGTCTGGTGCCGCCTGCTAACACCCCGCCAGAGCTTGCCAAGAGTGATTGTTGCTGCTTGCCTCTTGACATTCTTCCCCTGATGTTCGCATTTGCCTTTGAGGCCATGCCTGCCTTTCAAACCCCACATGAGCTTGACACGTGAGAGGGTTCAGTACTCAAACAGGTCTCGTTTCGTGCGCATGTTATTTTGTTTGACCCCAAAAACTTGAGCAGCCACTGGGAGTCTCCAGCCCCCTTTCTTGAGCAGCCGGGAGTCTCCATCCACAGATGGGGTCATCGTCCTCTATGGTACATGACCCCATAGAGACTTTGGAAAGGGGCCACGTTTCCCGTATTAAACAGTTTCACTGTTCGGGGGGTCAAAGATGAATCAAGCTCCGTCACTACCCCCAAAAGAATGGGTACATGTCCACTACTGCCAACCATTTTTGAAAACAGGCGATTTTTCCGCCTCATTTGGTTCCCCCATCATCAAACAGTTTGCCCCCATTGTGCGGCAAAGCGGGATTCTTCTTCGCCGATTCTTCGTGTCTCTGGCTCCTGGGGCTCAGTTTCGTTTTTGTTTTTTCCCCCTTTTTTTCTTCTTTTCTTTTTCTCGGAAATCATGATCTGTCTGTTGCATCTCGGTACCTTTTTGTTTCTTGTTTGCAGGGATATCCAAATAAGGACCGAAATCCGTGCAGATGGTCACCCGAAAGAGGGACGCACACCCATCCATAGCCCTCGTGAAACCGGTTGAATCCCTGGCTCTCAGGGCTGTGGGAAACGACCAATTCTCTGATCCAACACTTCCCAAAGACTACCCCCCCCCCCATATAGAGAGGGGATTCCCTTGTATCGCAGAAGTGGAAAAAAGCCCTTGATCCCACAACCCTGCTGGCTCTGGTTAGGGTTTTTTCCAGCTCTTCCGAGGCCGTGCGGGGCCTCTGCGAGGCCAGCGACGCCGACGTCCACGCCGCGGGCCCGGATTCTTTGGGTGTCGAGGACCTGCGGCGCATGGCGGAGGCGTGGCTGGACGAAGGCTGCGAGCAGCGGCTCGGCGCAGAAACCGGGTCCAGCGGCCCTCGAAGTGAACATTTGTTTTCTTCTTTTTTCGGGGCTCTCTAAGGGACTTCTTGGTGGTTTCCCCCTAACCGACCCTGGGTCCCCCAGTAGTGCTCTTTCTCACCCTTAGTGCCCGTTTACAAACTTTTTTGGTTGGGAGGGTTCCCCCACTAAAACAAACTACTGAAAAAATGGGGCACCCAAATTCTAACCTCTCTACTGGAGGACCTAGGAAAGGAAGCGACGATAGGAACACCTGAGCCAACTGATCCATGGCCCAAGGATCATGGCCTGCCCTTCAACCCCCCCCCATGTGACTTGGCGGTCGCATGATACATATTATTCCCTGCCCCCGCAAAAGAAAGAAACAAGAAGAAAGAGTGCATCTCTTTCATTCCGGAACTGCCGAGCCGAACCATGGCGAGTTTCTTGAGTTCCACGTTAAGCTGGGGAGTAACAGGGGGATCTTCTGCTGGAAGTGAAGATTTCCCACAAGGGGACACCGCCCCTCAAAATCAACCAGGGTGTCAAAAAGCGGTTCCCATTGTTGATTTCGGTCTTAAAAGGGGCCCTTCCGTTTTCCAAAGCAAGCAAAAGGTTCTTCCCTAAAAGACCGTCTTTTGTGGGTGCCCTTTGTGGGTTGGTTTTAACGGGCGAAGGGAATCCCACCGCCTTTCAGTGGTCCCCCTTTGAGATTTTAGGGTTGGTAGCCATGGCCAAAAAGAGTGGAATGCCTTGGTGTACAGCGAAACAGCTTGTCAAACTTGGCATTGTCGCATGGCAAAACCAACGGAGACGAGCTTCCTTGTGGCATGCCCACCTGTGCATTCCTGATTCTGTTCTTCCGACCGAGATTGCAATTTCTTCTGGTACTTGGGTGAGTGGTAAACCACTGTTGAGACGGACCCAAATTGGGTAGCCTGTCCGGGGGGTGGTATGGAGCTGGGCTCGTTTCAGTGACACTCTGCAGATTACCCCCTCAAATGGTGATGAAAAGCAACTGCGTCCTAGAAAGCACAAGACAACTAGCGCGTACTGAACTTACCATTTGGAGGGACATCCCAATTCTAGGAGACAATCTCCGCTCGCACGGCCAATTCTCTCTATTGAAGCCGTGGATGACGGGTACCCAAAACGGTAGACCTAATCGTGAGTTCAACTCGAAAAGCCCGCAAAAACACGACATCCTTTAACCTGCCCCACAACCCTACCTGATTCTCTGGAATGACTTTACTTCAGCAACCGGAAAATGAAGGACCCCCCAAAAAACCTTCATCCTGAAGCTGGTTGCCCGCTTGGATCAGCGAGCTTCCCAATTGCCCAATCCCGGGTTCTCCTGTTTGAACATCACCCATGCGATTTCTCTTGGGTCTGGAAAAAGAAACCTTCATGACAACAACCCTCAATGGTGACACCCCTCAATGTAATCATGGTGACAACCTTCAATGGTTGCAACTTCACATTGATCAACCCAGGGCGCCAAGACATTGAGCTCGCAGGAACTATCGGCGCCTTTACAAGGACGGCTGGCTCGAGGAGGCGATGAGTTTCCTTGGGGAAGTCTGTCATGTGGCTGTGGGTCAAAACCAATGGGATCCCATTTTGGGGTTGATGAATTCACCAACCAGTTTAGTCTATTTTAGTGGGGATTGGGATGTTCACTCGGGGTATGGGATTTTGACACATGGCCATGTGGCTCCAGCTTTCTTCCTCCAGTGCGATTTCAACACATAACACCTACCTCTGCGCAGTTTCTGGCTACATCCCATGGGGGTTAAGCGGGTCACTGAGCTTGTCCAATCCAAGACTCACATGACTTGCGGAGCACCAATGTCAGTGTCATCCATGTTCATCCTCAGCCCTTGTAACATCATTTGCGTAAATCGCTGTAGCTCGGAATTCAATAGATGTCGCCCATGCCCAGGAAAGTTTCAGGTGCTCGGCATCGTCTCAAGCACTCACATCAATGCATCAAGCTGACGCGTGTCAACCAACTCAGCCCTTGTTTTTCACGGTTCATCGCTGTGCTGGTGCTTGCGTTCATGGTGGTGACAAGCTGAGACACTTTTTGTAAGTGGTTGGTTGTTTGGGACAGTCGGAACTAGAAATGGAAGCGGCAGCTCTTTCGATTCTTTACCGGTGGATGAGTCCTTTGATACAGGTCTTGAATATCAACTGAGCTTAGTCTGCCTTCCACGCTGCATCACTTGGGGATCTTTTTTTTTGGGACCACTCGGCATTTCCAGGGCTCCTTTTTGGGCACCCCAAGGCTTTTCGCCAAGCCTTTGGGACCAAGTCGGTGTGTCTCTTTGGCGGGCTACTCCTTTCTGGTTCTAAAAGGCAACAAAGGAGGCCCATCATTCTTGGTGTCCCCTCATGGCCTTCAGTACAAAGCAGGGGTGCCCCCCAAAACTGACACGCCCACTTCACGCTTCACGATGTTGGGTGCTTGTAGGCCACAAGCCTTTGGAGCCTTTGGCGCCTTTGGATTTCAAGGCCTTTGTGAACTTCATTGGCAGCTCTCCCTCCGGCACCAAGTGGGCCCGCATCAACGAGCAGCTGATCAGGTCGGTGCACCTCTTCTCTACGCGGCCCGTGGTGGTGGTCCACTTCGGAATGGTGAGGCTATCGATCCGAATGGGATGGGAACGGACCAAATCCGTGGATGGGGTAGGTGTCTGTTTGGACGGTGGTCCTTTTGGGACGTGAGCTTGTTTGGGGGAACCTCTTTTCGTTTTCAAGGCAAACCCAAAGGATACCTTCCATGGCGGGGGTTTCTCACTGCAAGAGAGGTTCCTCAAATTGTCTCCTGCATGGTTCGAGACTAAAAGGAACTGCAGGGCCAACCACTTACGTTGAATTTGGGTTCCAAAATCAGCAGCCCAAAGACACCTTGGCTGTGGTCAAATGAATCGGTCAAATGCAAGTGAGCGCACACACCTGCTGTTGGCCGTTATATAAACGCGGGTGATTCTTCCTGGTGGAGAATGGTTGTGCCCACAAGCTTTACCTTGCAAACCCAATTGTCTGTGGTAAAACCCAGCCATTTCGCTACTCCAGTGGCCAGTCTTGAGCTGAGGCCAGCTGAATGGGACCCATCGAAGTACCCGCGCTTGGTGGTGCTTCATGCCGCGCCCTTCCCCACCAGCGTCTTCCGGCGCTTCGACCTCAACAAGTTCCGCTCCTGAGCTGATCTGGAGCCTTGTGAGCCGTCCGGTTGGGGTTCCTTTGGTTTCCTTTCGACCCTTTCCCTTGGTGTGGTTTACGTTTCTTTGAACCCTGTTGGGAATTGTTTTTTTTTGGGCCCTTTGGGTTGTTTAAAGGTGCTTTTGGTGTCCTTCTGAAGTCCTTTTGGCTCACATAGTTGAATCCCGCTCGATTTGTGAAAGCTTCTTGTCCCACATCCCGCCTAAAAAGTCTCGCAAAGTCCGCATCCCTTTTCTGGATTTCAATTCCTTTGTGGATGGATGTGTGTTTTTGTGTTCTCTCTCTCTCTCTCACTCTCATTTTTTCAGGATCCCTGCTGGTGGCGCGGGTCAAAACCGGGGTGCAGCTGGACGCAGATCAGTTTGTGGCCCCTGGGGTGGACCGCCTCTTTGCGCTGGCCAGACAGGAAGGCTCCGAGGCTCGAATCGACGAATCGGTGCGAAGTGGCTGGTTTTGGGTGCCCTCCACGTTGCCAGACCAGATTTGCGTACACGTCGCCATGGAGGCTTACGTTTTGGAATGGGTCCTGGTTTGGACGATTTTCCCTGAAAGGAAACCAAGGCTCTGGTGGGTTCCATGTGGACAGCAGGGATACAAACACTCTTGGTTGAGGAAATCCCATCATTTTCGATAAAAGCTGGGTTGGGGAGATCAAAGGGATTCTGGGGTGGCAGGTATACAGCTGGTATGACTCGGATGAAATCCCCTTGTTTTCCCTGGATATCACCTGCTTATCAGTTGGGGATGGGGGGGGGGTTGTGATGTTGCGATCCAATTTGGGCAGGATTACCCCCTGCCCATTCTGCCCGTTCACTTCCTGCGCAACGAGGAGCACGGTTGTGGCCCATGCTCTGTACCGAAGGACTCCTTTCAAATGTCAAAGCAATCATAGGGATGGCCCACTTATCGCAGAAGTTTCGAGACAACGCTTCAGATGCAACTGTGGATCCCACCAAGTGTTGCTCTCTGTTGGCACTCTTTTATATCACTTTCTAATGTGAATCCAGGATTCGGCATCCAAAACAAGCCTGGGCTCCTTTGCAGCACTACTTTCAAGCCACCAGGGAAATCGGGACTCGTTTGTGGTTTGCTGAGTGTCTCAGGAGCTGCCCATGTTCCCTGGACAGAACGGCGGCTTCACCATGAGCGGCGGCCAGAGCCACGTCTTCGACAGATATTGCACCGGAGCCATCAAAACCGATTCGGGTAAGTGAAGGTTGGGAAAGGACACTCCCAACAAACAAATCGGTGCGGACATCCGCCGTGGAAACTCTGGTTACCATGGTTCTGAGTTCACCATTTGTTTGCAGGTTTTGATTATGCCTCACCGAAGGCAGCGCTTTGAGATATCTGCTGGATTGCCAGCGGATGATTACAAAATCCGCACCAGGCACCAGTAGGTGGTTTTCCCCATAGGGCTTCAGCTATCCCAAGTGGTGCGAAGTGGATTTCAATCATCCACAGTAGGTCCAGCCGTTTTCCTTTTCCCTAGATACGCATGGACACTGCTGAGGGTCAGATTTCTCTTAGGGACGCCGCAATAGGCCCATTTCGAAGGCCCGGGCAGTCGAGAGGGCAGATTTCACAGCTGTGTTTTCCGTGATTGACCAAATGTTCATTGCAGGTCACTCGCCATTTTCGGGTGTAAACTCCAACTCTCCAGATGGAATCACTGGACAATTCATCGTGTGCTCAGACTGTGTGGGTTGCGAGCCATTTTGTTTTTCTAAACTTTTTCGACTTGTTTGTTGCGGGGATTCCCTTGCAGATCGGCATTCTTGCATGCTATTGGGTAGGATCGGAAAAGGCTCATCAAACTGAACGCGGTGGACAACAACATGCATACCAAACCACAGTGAATTGAGTGTCCTAGATCCTAGGGTTTCCCTTGAAAAGCAATTGCCAAAACACAGGGGCCGCTGTTTTTCATGGACTCCCGCTGAAAGTCTTGATGTTCGACTTGTTGCGCTGCGGCAACTGCGCTGCTGGGTACTGGGAAGCGCAATTCCCTGTCTTGCCATATGCGCAGTTCCCTGTCTTGCCATATGGGTGTGTCTTTCTCTTGCGGGCCCCCTTTTGGTTGGTATCCAAACGGAGTCCAAAAAAAAGCCAACCATTGGTTTAGGCACTCATATTTATAATTTGAGGGTACCCCTTTGGGTAGCTGTAAAGCTACACCACAAAGAAAGCCACCATGTCAGTCAGTCCCCCCACAAGACACACCGCACAATAGAGACAAACCTTTCTATTGTTTGGCTTGTGGCACTTGGTTCTGTTAGGCTCGTGGCTTCGAACCATGGCTTGTGTTTGTGGCTCTGCTGTTTGGAGGCTCGGTACCCTTTTCGGTTCGAAGGGAAACCAAGAGGAAACCACCGATTTTGGGGGTTCAAATCCATATTTTGAGACATGCCCAAACGCTTAACCTCGCAAGTGGTTGGTGGGCATGAGTCCCCACCGAATTCTGACGTCCAGCAAAGGGTCCCTGGTAAACAATCACCCCCACGAGGGAATGTATGGAAACGCGGACTCCTTTGAAGAGATGGGTTTCATGTCGGTCAAATGTGTTAAAATGAGCCAGCATATATGTCTTGGAAGGGGTTGACAGATGCTTACTGGCAGTCAGACGAGGCAACTGTTCACGTCGCTATGAGGAAATCCATGGTTTGCAAAGCCGACTTTTGGCTCCCCTTTCGTGCACCGCATGGTTTGGACAGTTTTGAGCAACTGCAAAGCTCGAGTCAACCACCCATTTGGGGGGTTCCCCAATTTTGACACATGCCCATGTTTTAATAGCTCTTTGAAGGCCAAGAGTCTGTGGAGTTTGTCAACAGCATTGCTTTTCAGCCAACCCAACTTTTTTGAGAATATTCCGGAAGCTCCGATTTCAACGGGTAAAATAGAACGCCACGAGGTGAGTCCTTTGTGTTGTTCGCCAGGGCTAACGATATATATATATATATATACATATATATATATATATATATCGGGCCATAATATATATATATATATTACATATGTTGTATGTTTCAATGTATATCTGCATATATGCATACATATATATATATATATACACATGTGTATATCTACATATGCACATGTATACAGGGTACCACATATATATGTATATTGCAAGAACACATATGGGCAAATTCCTGCAACAGTTGGTAGGTGTATCCCAGTATTCACAGGAATCATCCATCTCAAGTGGTGTCGACCAAGGTTTACATACCGCTCGCGTGAACTACATGTGTAGCATATTTTGCAGTGAACTGTGTGTGTGTGTGTGTGGGGGGGGGGACCAACTATGAACATATATATGTATATACATATATATGTACACATGCACACATGCACACACTACGTGCACAATCATGTAAACGTGCTATATATGTATGTATGTAATGTATGTATGTATGTATGTATGTATGTATGTATGTATGTATGTATGTATGTATGTATGTATGTATGTATGTAAAATGTATGTATGTATGTATGTAATGTAATGTAATGTAATGTAATGTAATGTAATGTAATGTAATGTAATGTAATGTATGTAATGTATGTATGTATGTATGTATGTATGTATGTATGTATGTATGTATGTATGTATGTATGTATGTATGTATGTATGTATGTATGTATGTATGTATGTATGTATGTAATGTAATGTAATGTAATGTAATGTAATGTATGTATGTATGTATGTATGTATGTATGTATGTATGTATGTATGTATGTATGTATGTATGTATGTATGTATGTATGTATGTATGTATGTATGTATGTATGTATGTAATGTAATGTAATGTATGTATGTATGTATGTATGTATGTATGTATGTATGTATGTATGTATGTATGTATGTATGTATGTATGTATGTATGTATGTATGTATGTATGTATGTATGTATGTATGTATGTATGTATGTATGTGTAATGTATGTATGTATGTATGTATGTATGTATGTATGTATGTATGTATGTATGTATGTATGTATGTATGTATGTATGTATGTATGTATGTATGTATGTATGTATGTATGTATGTATGTATGTATGTATGTATGTATGTATGTATGTATGTATGTATGTATGTATGTATGTATGTATGTATGTATGTATGTATGTATGTATGTATGTATGTATGTATGTATGTAATGTAATGTAATGTAATGTAATGTATGTATGTATGTATGTAATGTAATGTAATGTAATGTAATGTAATGTAATGTAATGTAATGTAATGTATGTATGTATGTATGTATGTATGTATGTATGTATGTATGTATGTATGTATGTATGTATGTATGTATGTATGTATGTATGTATGTATGTATGTATGTATGTATGTATGTATGTATGTATGTATGTATGTATGTATGTATGTATGTATGTATGTATGTATGTATGTATGTATGTATGTATGTATGTATGTATGTATGTATGTATGTATGTATGTATGTATGTATGTATGTATGTATGTATGTATGTATGTATGTATGTATGTATGTATGTATGTATGTATGTAATGTATGTATGTATGTATGTATGTAATGTATGTATGTATGTATGTATGTATGTATGTATGTATGTATGTATGTATGTAATGTATGTATGTATGTATGTATGTATGTATGTATGTATGTATGTATGTATGTATGTATGTATGTATGTATGTATGTATGTATGTATGTATGTATGTATGTATGTATGTATGTATGTATGTATGTATGTATGTATGTATGTATGTATGTATGTATGTATGTATGTATGTATGTATGTATGTATGTATGTATGTATGTATGTATGTATGTATGTATGTATGTATGTATGTATGTATGTATGTATGTATGTATGTATGTATGTATGTATGTATGTATGTATGTATGTATGTATGTATGTATGTATGTATGTATGTATGTATGTATGTATGTATGTATGTATGTATGTATGTATGTATGTATGTATGTATGTATGTATGTATGTATGTATGTATGTATGTATGTATGTATGTATGTATGTATGTATGTATGTATGTATGTATGTATGTATGTATGTATGTATGTATGTATGTATGTATGTATGTATGTATGTATGTATGTATGTATGTATGTATGTATGTATGTATGTATGTATGTATGTATGTATGTATGTATGTATGTATGTATGTATGTATGTATGTATGTATGTATGTATGTATGTATGTATGTATGTATGTATGTATGTATGTATGTATGTATGTATGTATGTATGTATGTATGTATGTATGTATGTATGTATGTATGTATGTATGTATGTATGTATGTATGTATGTATGTATGTATGTATGTATGTATGTATGTATGTATGTATGTATGTATGTATGTATGTATGTATGTATGTATGTATGTATGTATGTAATGTATGTATGTATGTATGTATGTATGTATGTATGTATGTATGTATGTATGTATGTATGTATGTATGTATGTATGTATGTATGTATGTATGTATGTATGTATGTATGTATGTATGTATGTATGTATGTATGTATGTATGTATGTATGTATGTATGTATGTATGTATGTATGTATGTATGTATGTATGTATGTATGTATGTATGTATGTATGTATGTATGTATGTATGTATGTATGTATGTATGTATGTATGTATGTATGTATGTATGTATGTATGTATGTATGTATGTATGTATGTATGTATGTATGTATGTATGTATGTATGTATGTATGTATGTATGTATGTATGTATGTATGTATGTATGTATGTATGTATGTATGTATGTATGTATGTATGTATGTATGTATGTATGTATGTATGTATGTATGTATGTATGTATGTATGTATGTATGTATGTATGTATGTATGTATGTATGTATGTATGTATGTATGTATGTATGTATGTATGTATGTATGTATGTATGTATGTATGTATGTATGTATGTATGTTTTTTATGTTTCATGTGGCATAGAATCAAGCCATCCCAGGCAAGGAGGGGAAGTGCAAGGTCTCCACGCGCTGGGGTCATGCCCACCCCACCTGGACCTTCTGGTCCTTGCCCTTCCTTGGCACCTGGCGGCTCGGCGTCCGAGATCCGAATCTGGGTGTCCGAAGAGAATGGGCTTCGGAGACGAATCAAACCTTAGCTTTGTTTCGTTTTGTTTTCTCCCCCCCTTTTTTTCTTTAAGGCTTGGTACCCTTTTGGGGTTGTGTTTTCACCCCCCCCCCTCCCCCAATTTTGGGGTTCCGATGAAGAATTGCTTCACAGTGGCTTTGACCTGGAGCCTGCGGTACCTTGGGATGGCTCAAAAAGAACCATGTTGCCTTTTTCAAAATCTTACTTGTGGTCCCCTGAAATGCTCAAAAGTGCTTCAAGGCTTTTGTTGGGGGTATGATCGAATGATCTGTTGTAGAGGCTTTGGGAGTGTCCGGGGGGGGGGTTACAGGCGCTTTAAAGGTCTTGAGGGACCAAGAACCAAGGGACGAAGATTCACCGAATTCCCCCATTTTGTTTAGTCATCCTTAGTTTTGTGACACCCAGACCCGCGGGAGCTGTCGTGTGCGCATGCGGACGTTGCCGGTTTTGGCCCTGACGCCAACAAACCGGCTCTGCCCACAGAGGTCCTGTGCGGACCTGTGCGGACCTGAGTGAGTTTCGTCATTTCCTTTGCTTGCCCAATAGGAAACGATGCCATCTACTTTTACACAACCTGCAATGTGAGGGCGTCACCCACCCACCAAAAGACCGAAAGGGGACACCCCTCACCACGGTGTACGGTGTGTTAATCCGGGGTGAACAGTAGGTTTGCTCGAAGTGCCCGAGGCTGCGCCGGCACTTGCGCGACGAGACGTTGCCGGAGTCCCAGGGCAAGGTGGCACTGCGCGTGACGCACATCGACGTGGACGAGGACCTTCTGAACATCGGCACCTGGGAGGCGCGATGCGCGCAGACTCCGTGCCGAAGCCCAAAGACAGGGCGACGGGCGGCTGCAGTGTGTGTGTGTGTGTGTGTTGTGCTTTGTGTGTTGTGTTTTTTGTTGTGTGGGTGTGTTTTTTCTGAGGGTACGCTTTCTTGGATTGGTTTAAAGGAAACAAGAAGAACACCACCATTGTGGAGGACCCCGTTCTTGTGACACATATCCATTTTTTTACAGTTGCGTGAAAGCCTTTCCATTTCGGCTCTATCATCCTTGATTAATTTCAGAAAGAAAGGATGTAGCGATATAGTGCCATCTACTTTCACCCAGGTAAGTTTCGCTAAATGGACCAGAATCAAACGGGCATTTTGGCTTGAGGGCAAGCGCGGAGGTCTGTCCATGACTTGTAGATGTGTGTCTTAAGGGTTGCCGGTTAGCCAGAACCGAAGGAGGAGGGCTACAAGCAGTGGTGCAAGTACGACGTCATGGACCCCAGTGACTTCGAGCGCTTGTTGAGCAATAGGCCGAAAGGCCATTGCAAGCCCAAGGGCCCGCCGCCCATCGTGGAGGAGACAGTTGGGAAATTTACCACATGTCTTTGCGAATAAATTACAGTTGAATCCGAGGTGCAAAGTTGAACGCCTTTAGAAGCACAGCTGATTTTGATACACACCCACATGTACCATATCCAAAGAAGCAACTGGTTCAGAAGGGCTCGCAGGGATGGGCATGGACGCTTTGACAAGGGTTTCGATGACCGCATGGCTTTCCACCAGGATGACCATCCATGCCTTCAGGGTTTTTCCACGTGTCCCCGATGACTTCAATTATGTGGGTCATTTTCCAAAGAAACCAAGTCATTCACCACGCGCAACCTTGGGTGGTTTGATCATGCGATCCCATGCAAGATGTGCCTCGCCGTTTCACCCGTAAGAGTAACATTTATCCGGCCGGGGAGCAAGCCCGAGACCGCATTCCCCAACCTAGCGAGTTTATAAGACATTTATGATAAATGTCCTACCCCGAGCTACAACAGAGAAACAAATAACAAGCTTTGAGACAAACACTTGCTTCCCCATGCCATTTACTGCTGCATATCGTGTATGCAGGTGTATTTGTACATATAGATACAGTCTTTTCCACACATTATACAACATTTTGCATGTATTCATATGTATGCACACCATTTGTTCCGCGATTAATTGCATATATCATATCCTTGCACCATACAAGCTTGTGGTTCTGCACGTCGCCCGTTTGAGAGGACCCGGTCTTCCACCCCGAGGGCGCGGCGGTGGTCTTTCTCACCGCCCACCACGCGGTGGAGCCGGAGGTGTCGTCGAAGCTCATCGACCAGTTGGCCAGCAAGGCCAAGGCCAAGGCGGGGCCCCCGCCGTGGCGCCGGGCGAGGCTTTTTGGGGCCGACGAGCAAATGCGCATGGAGGACCTCCGTTATTTTTTGTGTTGTGTGGACAAGAATCAAGATAATGGGGGGTCGTTTTTTGCGCAATTTGTTGTGTTGGGTTATCTGTTTGTTCCCAAACAACGAGCAAGCAAGGCAAAGTGGAGGTTTCTATGCACCAGCCAGGTAAGGATCAAGCCTGGTCACCAACCAAAGGGCAAGCCAACAGGAGTTGTGGTTGTTGGCAAAAATGGTTTGAAGTAAACGGCTTTGATTCAACTTGAAGCATGGTTTACAGGTGAGAGAAGGGCTTGAATCGCCCTGGCCAGTTAAGGGTTACACTGAAAGCCTTTGTAAGCATTAGCATTCTGTAGCAGCCAAGCGAACCAAGCTGTCGAGGTGCCAATGGCCGAAGGCGCTGGGTTTGTGTTCTTTGAGGGTACTCTTTTCAGTTGGTTGAAAGGGAAGCCAAAGGGAAGATCACCATTTCTGGGCCCGCCCTATTCTGACACATACCCACATGGACGATCCGAGCCAGTGTCAGAGGATGGGCATGAGATCCTTCGGAACAAGCATGTATGCTGCGTTGTGTGTTTGCCTCCGGATCCCCTATCAATCAGGTTCCCTTCAATTGCTGGTTTGGCTTGGTGGTTGACATTGGATTTAAACTCCTGGTTCTTGAGGGTAATTAGCTGGGAAGCTAACCCCCGGCACATTTTAAGACCAGCAAACCACACCAATTGGGTGCGGCTTTTTTGAGGAAGTCCTTTTGATTGGTTTTACAGGAAAACCAAATGGCCCCACAAAAAATGACACACCCAATTGGGGGCAGCTGAATCAAGCCCTTTGGGTGTCCGATGGATCTGAGGAGCTTCCTGGGCCCGTGTACTTCAAGGGCTGCCTGGCCAAAATGTTCATGGGTTGGTGGGTGGAGGGGGGGGGTTGAGTCGGCACTGCCAAATGATACCACCAGGCGTTTTTTTTTTGTCTTCAAATAAACCCAATGCATGTGGCGGTTTTTATCAACAGCCGGTATATATATATATATATATTTGTTTCTTTGGCAGTTTCCCTTTCTTTACTTTGCTTCAAGCCAGTGGGAAACCTAAGGCAGCCTCCGTGCTACGGTTGGGAGAAGAATGCAGGACACCAATTCAAGCAGAGGAAAGTGCCAGGCAACCAGCGGCTATGTGTCAGAAGAAGGGGAGCTGAAAAAGGGTGTTTTTCTGTTGGTTTGCCTTTGAACCAATCCAACAAAACGACTCCCTCAAAAAACACAAGCCCAAATGGTCAGCCGCACCTGCGACGAAACTCGGTTTTAATTCGGGACTCAAGAAAATTATGTGGGGATAAAAAGGTCCAGCAAGCACGTTTGAATTGTTCCAACGCTGCTTTTAAAAGATTCTCACATTGGTGTTTGCAATGGAGGGCAACCTTTTCAGGCATGTTTGATGTGAGACAAGTGGCATTTTGGGGGGTCCCCTGTCAAACTTGCCAGTAGTCACCAGGATTGTGAGGGACATGAGGGGTCTCACCGGGCTCACGAATTTGCCATGTCCTTTGAGGGAATCGCATAGTTGACCCTGGCTCGCGCGTTATTTGACCGGCGCGCGCCCTTGGTGGGTTTGGATTGGTGGTTTGGGGCTTTGCACCCTTTGCTCTTGGGAAACAACTCCCACAGGCGCCTCCAAAGCGGGCTCCAAGGGGGTAAACTGTGCAACCGAGGCTGCTTCTATCAAGATGGCGAAGAGTTGCGCCGGGAGCACCCCAAAGTGAAATGCCTGATTTGAGCTCGGAGATTTTCAGCAGAGGGAGAGACCTTTGTTTGCAAGGCGAGGCCAATCGTGTCCAATCGCAAGTTGGCAAAGGGGCTTTGGCGAGAACCTAAAGGCATGTTTCAGCATTTCAGAATCCAGACGCAGGAAGCGAAGAGCCAAAAACTGACCCAAAGACGGTCAGACACAGCTTGCATTTGGAAATCCATGGATTGACAATGCTCACTTGGCGGCACGCGCTGCCACGTGGCTAAGAGTAGGGCTTTCGCCAGCTGAAACATGGCTGGTGGGAATTCCGCTCGAGGGGAAAAAGAGGTGTGTGTGTGTGTGTGTATCTTCAGAGTGTGTGTGTGTGTGTGTGTGTGTTTGCGTGTGTAACCGAGCAATCTCCACATTCGGTGATTTCCATGTCGCTTCAACCCCCACAGAAGCACCCTCATAAATGACACAGGCACTTGACTTGGGTTGGGAGAGAGCATGCTAGAAAGCGGAAGAGGAATCAAGTCGAGGCTTTGAGCTTCGCTAGATGGGCGTCAAAGATAATGCCTCGGGCTCGAGCTATTCTCGAACCATTTAGCTCCTGCTCTAACGGAAAGCCTGCGATTTGAATGTGCATGCTTTCCGGTCTTGATGTGCCACCATTTATCGGTGCAATACGTCCACGCTTCAACCAGTCTGCGCATCCTTCGTTGCATTGGAAGACTTCCGCTTCCCGCCGTAAAAGGTCCCAACTCATTTTGGGAGGACAAGGGGGGACTCAACTTTTTACAAAATGCGGCCACATGTCCTTGAACGGCTTTCCACCCTTCGGGCTAATGTTGGGGGCCTACCCTCAGGGTTCTACGCCAATTCACTGAGACACCATTGGCTACATTTGTTGGTTACGTGCCAGCTGTACAAGGCTATGGAGGGAAAACAAATGGTTTCATTATATATGTTTGAACAATCAATCACCTTCAGCACCCTAGCGCTTTATATATATATATATACACATACATATACATAAACATATACATATGTATGCATATATGTACATCCTAAGGCTACAGAACAAATCTTTATCTATATATATATAGTACATGTATGTGTAATATACGATAGGGGCAATGCACTTCGCGGCCGTTCGGGATCAGCTCTTGAGTAGCAGTGCAGGCGCACGACCCGGCGAAGCTGGCGGTGCTCTTGCTGTTGGTCGGCGTGCTGATGACCTGGACGGGTGCAGTTTGGGGGGGTTCAAAGGGACACCGCAAGATTCTTACCTTGATCTAGAAAACTGTTTGGATGCGTTATTTGCGGATTTCAACTGTTCTTCCCCCATTGTGGAAGATTGGCCAAGTCTCCATTTTGAACAGCCCAGTCGAGCAGTCTGGGGGTATGGATGCCAACTCAGTATTGCAAATGGGCACCCCGCATGAAGCAGAGCCTTTTTTGGTGTTCTTTTATGTTTGTTAGTTTCAGCTTGATGGCCTATCCCATTCCTCAGAAAGGTCAGTGGTCAGTACCTTGGCTGACATTTGGCTTTTCGCCCAGGAGGGCGCGCGGTGAAGCTGGGAAAGCGAACACTTCGGGAAGTCCTCAAAAACCGCCGCTTCTGTGGTGCTTTGCCTTTAAGCCACAATCAAAAGGCTCGAGTAATTGCCCCCCAAAAAAGAACCTGAGGGCAATGTTGGGTATGTTTGCCCTGGACACCGCGACTGAAAGGAATCTCTTGAGCGGAACCGCTCGAAAAGGCAAGATCGGGGTCGGCCAAGGTCCTTCAGAAGCTCTCATCAGAGGGTCAAACTCAGAAGCCAAATGCAGAAGAGCGTGGGTGTTTGTCAACGGGTCCCCTTTTCGGATCAGGGGAAGCCAAAAGGAAACTAACCTGCAGGGTCCCTAATTTTGAGAAGCCCTCAAATCAGAAGCCACCCCGCGCAAAGCCAGTAACAGCTACAAAAGCGATCGCGCCTTCGCGAGGATTGGGGTCAGTATCAAGTGGGCCTGCGATGGCTCCCTGCCTGCAAGGCCGGCTTCGAAACTCGTTTCTGGCGTGTGGCGGCATGCGCGGCGTGCTGAAGCGCCACATGCGTTTGTGTGTATGTTTGCGTGCGTGCGCTTCTGTTTGCGCGCGTCCAAGCGGCTTGTTGCCTCCATTTTGAAATCGAATCCAAAGCAACTCTTGCCGGAGCCCCTTCGCATGAGCCAACAGTGGCCAGTGTTCCCAAGCCGAATCACGATGCATGTCTTCAAAGACGTACGTGGCAGGCTGGCCATTTGGGGACTGCTGCCTGAGGCGAGGGAGAGAAAGGCTTTGCGGCCAACGCACATTGGCAAAATTTGCAGCTGGTTATACTAGCATGGCTTCATGGGGGTTATAGTACGCGACCTTTTTGTAAAACTCATATGAACATTTATAGCCATGCTAGTAGAACCACACCTCAATGGGTTTTGGGTGCTCACTTGGCTTGATGGGTACAGTCATGGACCCCTTGGAGCATTTAGACACTCGTTGTGAGGGTTCCTACTGAGGGAACCAGGACCATAACCGTGACCACAAGTATGCCGGATGGCACAATTCAAGAATGGCACATTCTTCAAAAGCATTTGTCTGACCTTAGTTTGGCTTGGGAAGACAGCAGCCGAGATGCTCTTTCTCCGTATACTCTGGGCTTCAAGTAATTATTACGGAGACGATGGTAAGACCTGCTCTCCAGCTGTCTTAGTTGTCAATGTAACGTTCAATGTGAATCTCAACATATTATCATTTCCGAGCCCCCCTTTTCTATAGAGAGCGGTCGTTGGTTGGGATGTGATTGGTGATAGACATCATGTCAACAACGCTGCAACGGTGCTGGGAACTAGGCAAAAGCACACATTTGGAGTAAATACATGGTAGCCTTTAGGCGAAAACACAATTTTGGAGTAAATACATGGTAGCCTTTTTGCATGATGCAATGGACCAAGTTTGCTCCTGGTACTGAACAAGAGACCACCCGGGGTACCCTGTCTGTGGGGACAAAGCCCCCTTCGTCGATAGGATCTTTAAGCACGGTGGCGCCATTGTTGGGAGAACTTTATGATGCTTGGGCGGACGACACGCCCAAAAAAGTCCAGCTTCTGCCGGGACTTCTTCCCCAGACCGCTATGAGGAAAGGTTGGAGATTGAACAACCGCAATCCCTTCGCAACTATCATGATGAATAGCTCTGATAAGATGATTGTTACTGTGTTTTGTTCACGTGTTGTTTCATCATGTGGCAAAACGGCCGAATGGCCGTTTGGCTCAAGATTTCAACCTCCCGTCAGGGCAATCTCGGACCCACGTGCACCCGCCATAACACGGCGGCACTCTTCGTCCCCGAGGTGAAAACCGTGGGGCTGCGGGGCGCCGGTGTTAGGAGGTAGGTGGTCGGTCGTCGAGGTCATCCTGGGCTTGATTGACTTCTCTACTTTTGCAACCTATTTCCCAACCTCCCCAAACACCGTCTTTTTCCACCGTCACATCCTCAACCCGGTCATCATCCACAGCTTCACCCGAGTTGTGTTTCCGGGTGCTTTGGGTACATTGTGATCTACCTTGTGCTCATTTGCTTCCCTGGGCTACTTCGTGTTCGCCCAAAACCGCAGGTTATCAGCCGTACCAGCTAGAAGCTGGGGCTGGTGATCCGGTTGCGGGACGTGACCCGCTACCTGCTCCCATCGCCTACTTGTACGAGCAATGGCGTCCCCCGGAGCTTCTCATCGTGGGCCGGGCTTCGTGGACGACGAGGCCAACGCCCTTCGCGGCAACGCCGCGCCTGCTGCCCCCGGCTTAGACAGCCGGCTGTGGCCCATTCCCCCGATGGTGGGCGCAGAGCCCAATCCCGGGGTGATCACGGACGATTGGATCCTTTCTCAGGTTGTGTTTGATGAGGATGCGGAGGCCCCTATCCCGGCGGCAGTGCTCCAGATCGAGGACGGACCCCCTCTAGAAGAGGCTGAGGTTCCTCCAAATCAGGTGCCCTCATCGATTTCGCCTACTGTTCCGTTCGTGGCGCTCCAGATCGAGGACCGGGCTGTCCATCATGCTGCTCATCCGGAGCCGGCTCAATCATGGTCCCTTACATGGGATCAGTTTGACCAACTCCTCGGCAGTGGATCGCAGGCTACACCGCCTGATTTCGGTCGGCTCGACTTTAACTCGGGTGCCCCCGTTTCGGTTGGGAATCTGGATTTTCAATCCCTTTTTGATGCTGATTGGAGGTCTCAGCCTTCCCGAATTGACAGATCCTTTGATGCCCTGCCTCGCATGAGCCTACTCAGGGTTTTCCTCATGATGGAGAAAATGACCCCATTGAAGATTTCTCCCCTTCTCATGTTGCAGGTTCGGCCCAACCCGAGGTGGGCAAACGGGCGATTGAGGATTGGCCGCAAATAGCTGGCCCTCCTCCCGTCTCAGGTTCATCCGACATTGACATCATTCACGATCACCCCAGTCCGGCGGATATGGACTTCATCCCTGATGCAGTATCATCTCACCTGTCAGGTACCCGCGACCGGAATGCGGACCGCTACAACGCTGGTCCGAATCCACCGCTTTCCTCAGGTACCCGAGGTCGGGATGCGAACCGCTACAACGCGGGCTCAAATCCGCCAAATCGGACATCAGGTACTAATCGATCGGATGTAGGCCGCGAAACAGCAGGCCCAAATCCTTCCTCCTCTTCGTCAAGAAGCCATGCCGGTCTCTTCGCGGCGTTCAATCGGCGTCAGACTCGAAAAGAGTCCGCCCCCGACGTCATCGACCTCGAAGAGCAGTCCAGCCACCGTACCAGTGATGGATCCGAGCAGGATACACCTGGTATTGGCTCTACTCCCTTCGACCTCCTCGACATCCCCTTCCATCAGCCACCCAGGAGAGGAAATGAAGATGATGAAACCATCCCTGGGATCCTTGATGTAATCGATGAGGCCGAGGTCACACCAGAGAGACGAACGACATCGCTCCCGCCGAGCCGCGTTGCCAAAGTACTTTCCCCTAAGCCACTCAATGGTGACGTTGCTCAACGGCTTGATCTCACTCAACCTGATCCAGATCAAGCTCAACTTCGCGGATCGTCATCATTTGATAACATGTCGGGACAAACCGGCACTGACTCACGAGCCACAAAGAGGAGCTCTGAGTCACCCGAGAGACGTGAAGCTGCTCTGCGATTGCGATCTAATCCCCCAGCTCATCACGATCCTATTGACGTTCCTATCCACTCTGCGGGGTCTGGGCTCAGCTCCAATGCCCCGATGTCTGAGAAGGAGACTGATGACGGGATTAACTCTACGCCCAGGAATCGGAGACCTGGACTTAGCACTGTTGCTCCTGGTCATGGAGGGCTTCCTTCAAATCAACCGGTCAACAACTCCCTCGTCCCCGCATTCTTTCAAATTGGAACTCCGGGCTGCACTCCCGACAGGGAAGAAAATAGGCGCGGAGATCATGACGCTGATAGTCGTCCTGCTCCGTCTGCTTCCACAAGTGGCGGCCATCCTGTTGCATCTGAGCTTCAACGACTGCTTCTCGCGATCCACAACGAGGTAAAGGGGTGCAAGGCCGAAATCCAGGGATGCAGAACTGAGATTCGTTCATGTAGGGATGATATCAACGCTTGCGTCGGTGAGATCAAGAAGATCAATAACCGTGTTGACGCCTTCGAGAAGAAGGTTGAATCATCTTTCTCTGCCGTTGCCGGAACTCTCTCAAAACACGAGGCCAAGTTCCGTGATTTCCACGAGTGGGTCGCCCGAAGCGAGAAGGAGATGAATGAGCGTTTCAAGATGTATGATGAGAGGTCTGACTCGATCGTCATATCCGCTGCTGAACTTCGCGAGCAGGCCGAATCACTTGAGAACGTCAAGGTCCAGCTCCTTAGGTTCTCTGAGATCGGGGCCCTTGAGGCTGAGGTTCGGAAAATCAAGGACGAAGTTGAGGCGAACTCTCGCAGTGTCATCGACATTGAGGGAACCATCTCAAGGGAAAGAACCATCCGTGGGAACGTCGAGACGTATATCCAGCAGCTCGTTCCTGCGACCGACCTGAAGCAGTTCAGTGATAGGATGTCCGGAGCCCTCAATGAGAACTCACAGAAACAGGAAGAGTTCAAGCTTCAATTGTCCCGTATTGCTAGATGCGTCAAGGACCTTCATGACAAAAGCTTAGGCCCCAATCCGAGGGACATGCAAGAGCAGTTTATGAAGCTTGTGCTGAGGGTCAATGAGATCAACATGCAGATCGCTGAGTTGAGGGAGCAACCTCTTGCTGCCTGCGGGTCTTCAAGTGCTGGCGCTGCTTCGACCGCCGGAACGGGATCATGGGAGAAATCTGGAGACACTGATCCCTTAACCCAGGGAAGGGCTCCTAGAGGTTCTCCTCTCGTGATGCTCGCACCGTCAGCTCGGCTAGGCCTCCTCCACCTCCACCTCCTTCAGGGCCACCCCCACCGTCACCATCAGCCCCCATCTTCGGCAGGGATCCCTCTAGAACGAGGGCCATTGCTCGGGCTGCCGGCGCTGCCCCTGATAACCGGGCCAGGTGTGATCATGAGGAGCCCGGGCATCCACAGCATCGGGAACCTCGCTATCCATGCCGAAGCTGCGGCAAGTCAGTCTGCGAAGACTGCTTTGACCATGATTGTAACTCGTGTTTCAAGTGCAGCGATCAGTTTCCTAGATGCCGCGCATGCAGAGGAAGAGGGGGGAGACACGGACTTGTGAGGTGTCTCATATGCAAGGACGAGTACTGCGATCAACACATCGCCTCACCTGACGATGTGCGCCGTTTTGGATCGAGTGTTCGACCTATTTGCCTCGGTTGTCTGAGAGCTGACCCCGACGGGAAAACTAAGCATCGCGGTCCCAGTGCGGGGCCTGGAGGACCTGATTGCATTCCTGATCATAATCAGCGGGATGGCACTGCTCCTGATCCTGGATCCGGGCCATCACGTGGAGATCCGTCACATCGGAGTCCTGAACCGCACCAAGGGAACTCTGGTTCCTGTTCCCACGCCGGAGCTGCCGGGCCAATGCCACCAAGGGCGATGTCTTCGCCCGTAGTCGGGCGAGCAGTTCTGAGGGGGACCATCAACACGTATCCCGGATGTTCCCCTACAGGGGGGATTTTCACCGGTCAGGTTGAGCATGGAACGTCTCAGGGAGTCATTCGCGGGAGGTACGGACCTGACGCTGCTGTGACAAATCAGCAGAATCCACAGCCTCACCACGGAGTACAGGATAACTCTGGCGGGCCGACTGGTTTCTCTCTTCC